GGCCATTCAGGCGTCGCGCGCCGCTGCGTGCGTCAGCAGTGCTGCATGTGCGCACATGCCGCACACCCAGCAACGTGCTGCCCCCCTCACCTGCAATGCATCACTGATTTTGTCCCGGCCAATTGCAGGTGAGAAGGGTAGGTTTGACGAGCTGATGGAGGACAAGGGGGTGCGCATACTGATCGACCCATCCGCGCTCATGCACGTAGCGGGGCTCAAGTTGGACTACAGGAGATTCAAGAACAAGTGAGCCGCCGGGCGAGATGGGGAGGCTGCATGCGGCACAACGCGCCGAGTGTGTGCAGCAGAGCGGGCGAACGTGAACATGTGTCGCGCCGGGCGTTCAGCACGGAGCAATTGCTGTTGCGGCTCACTGCTACAGATCATCGCAAAGTCCGCTATATCATTGCGTAATCACTTCATTGTCCGGTTGTGCCCGGGACTCAAACTTCAGGCCTGAGTTGGTGTACATCAAGAAAAAGCCAAGGGTGAGCGGTGCACATCAGCTTGGTTGGTTGGCTCCCCCTGCCGCGCACCAGCTGATTGTGAGAAAGTACGTTTTCATGGGACGCATCGTTGTGCAAAGCAGATCTTAGAATGCGCCGGCTTGCCTCCAGGTTAGCTGTGTCGGACCCCCAAATGCACCCCTCATGTCAGCCAGGTCAGACTATTCCCAATCAACCGTCCGCACACATGCGCGGCTTCGAGCCCAGGCCTCCCAAACACTCCGCGACCCCGCCGTCCGCTCTCATCACTCACAGGTGATGTGATCAAGGTCTTTTCAGAAATGCACTGCGGCCCATGACTGACGCACGCACGCCCCTCTCCATGCACTCGGCCGCGCTTGTGGTGCCGGGTGCCAGCTGGCGGTCCGCCCATGACGTGTGCGGTGGCGCCGAGGGGCAGGCGGATTGGGTTTGAGCGCATGCCGCGGCTCTTGCGGGTGCGCAGCCCTCACTTTGTCTTTCACTGGTTGGGGCTGCGGCTTGGCTGCTGGGTGGCTGCCGCATGGCTGCTGCTTTGCCTTTTTGACAGTTAGCTGTGCCTTGTCGAGTTGAGTGTGTGTGCCTTGTGGAGTTGTGAGATGCAGGATTATATGCACCACCGGCATGCTTTTGCTCCGCTGGTATCGTTCCAACCTGCTGCCGTCTCGCGAATTCAAAGTTCCAGGTTTAAATCCCGTGACGCAGCGAGCATCACTCGCTCGTGGCGGCTGGCAGTCAGCCTTCGCCACACAATACTTCTGCGCTTATTCACACCTTGAAACGCCGCAGGTGCCTGCCTGCCTGCCTGTCTGCTGTGCAATTTGATGCCCAAATCCAAGACCCTGAAGTGCAAAGCACAGCGATATTCAGAAGCAACAGGCTGCAGTGCTCGACAGCTGCTGATGTCACAGTCACTGCAACCTTTGCTTGAGCAGTACCAGACCCCTCAGTGTGTGATATCGACAAAGCATGGCGGTTTCACATGGAGGTTGTCGTGCTTGTTGTGTTGTTGGGTCCTCAGCACCCCTGCTGTTGGGCTTGTGGGGTGGGCGTCGACCGTCGCCTTGAGCGCTCACAACGAGCATTGACCAACTCTTGTGACTCCGCACAAGGCGTTGCTGTGCAAACGCTGGGAACACAGTGCAATCACGCAACGCCGCAAGAGTCAACGCTGTGCATGCAAAGTGGAATGTGTGCATGGCAACGCGACAGTGGCAGCGTGACAACCAAGTAACCAAGCCAAGCCACGTTCCAGCCGCACATATTATAGTATCAACGTCATTCCCAAGTGAACAGCGGGCGGCAACATAGACACAAAGTCCATACCACAAAACACACGGAAAGAACTTTTTCCAGCGGGGGCGCTCCCGGCATGGTGCAGTCCTCGCTGGCTCGGCTCGTGCAGGCCGCGTCTCAATTGGCAACGGACGTGGCCAGAGGAGCGGCCAGCAATCCCCGTGCGCGCAAGGCGGTCGTGGAACTCACCGATGCAGCAGCATCGCGCATCCGGGAGCTTCTTGCGCAGCGTCACAAGGTAAGACTGGGCACTCAGTCCTTACTTGATAGCTTCAACGTGCCCGTGCGGCCGGATCGCGCCAGGGTTGTGCCTATCCATCCTCTCACGCCTTCCTGGGTCCTCGCCGCTGCAGGAGTTCATAAAATTGGGTGTAAAAAAGCGTGGTTGCAGCGGCCTAAGCTACACGCTGAACTATTCCGGTAGGCAACACCTGCAGCGTGCGTCAGCCGTGCTGCATGCGCCCACATGCAGCACACCAAGCAACGTGCTGCCCCCTGCACCTCTGATGCATTACGGACTCGGTGCTAACTAATTGCAGACCAGAAGGGTAGGTTTGACGAGCTGGTGGAGGACCATGGGGTTCGCATGCTCATCGACCCAGCAGCGCTCATGCACGTACTGGGCACTAAGATGGACTTTGTGCAGGACGAGCTGAAGTGAGCGGCAGGGCGAAACGCCGGGATCGCATCTAGCGCAAGACTGTATGCAGAAGCGTGGGAAAACGTGCACGTGTCGCGCCAGGCGCTCGGCGCTCAGTGTTTGCTGTTGCAGCTCAGTGCGAGCGGTGGGCCGCGTCGCAGACTCTCCTGTCTGTCGCTGACCCATCGTCCGCGTGTGCCGGGTCCTTGCACGTCAGGTCCGAGTTTGTCTTCATCAACCCAAATGCAAAGGTGAGCGGGGTTTCATTTTGTCTTTTCGTCGCTGTGACCTGTGGGTGCATACTCGGTTGCTGGGTTGTGCACTGGGTAGGCTGGTGTTGTCTCATGCTGGCTGGCTGGTACCCGTCAGCAAGCTCTCTGCACGCCACAATCCCGCGCTTCCCAGGGGTCTTGCGGCTGCGGCGAGTCTTTCACCACTTGAGGCATGCTGCTGCGGCGGCGGCAGCAGCAACACAAGCAGCCACAGCAGCGATGGCGGCAGCAGCCGTCGCAGCAGCAACAGCAGTCGCAGCAGGAACAGTACCCTTCAAAGCAGTAGAATCAGCATTCGCAGCAGCATTCGCAGCAACATTCGCAGCAGCAGCAGCAGCAGCAGCAGCAGCTGCTGCTGCCATGGCGGCGGCGCAGCGGCAGGCAGCATTTCAGCTGCAGCGACCACGGAGCCGCTTGTGCTGGTGGCGGCCGTCAACGGCGCCAGCGGCATTGTGCAGGTGCACCGATAGGGGCTGGCGGCAAGGTCCTGCAGCAGCCTCAGCTAGATATGAAATCGCCACGCTTGACTCTTGACTGCATCCTTCTTTTTCGTCCACTGCCCGAGATCTCTCATGTTCGATGTTTGTGTTGGTCATCGGTTGTGCCCGGCCAGGCGCGTGCGGGCCGCAATACAGGGGGCACGTCGCAGTCCCTGAGCTGGCCCAGGGATCCCTGGTAAGAGGTGCTTGTAGCCGCGCACACGCTTGCCTGGCCGACCTTTGAGCTAGCGCGGCGGTGCAAGACCCGTCGCACGACGTGAACAGCCGCCTTCCCTTCAGGCGCCTTGTGTCATCCTGATACCTTCCCCTGTTCTTACGGTTCTAGTTTACTTGTGGTTTCTTGTCCAGCTGCGCCACAGCTAAGCGCGCACACGGTCATGTTACTGCATCGCTCATGCGCATCTCCTGCCCGTTCTCTTTGCCCTGCTGGCAGGGCCAGCCAGCATCTAGGAACACCTAGCCCTTCATGCAAGGCCTCATCACCTGCTATCTCATGTAATGCCGCGGGACCCTGCTTGTCGCGGTTCCGCCTGAGTCATACCGATGCGCGTGCAGAGAATGGGTCTTAAGGCTTGCAGGTGCAGCCTGCATGTGCGCACTGCACCTGCCTGGCACCCCTGAGGCGTTCCCCTGCCCGCGTGGGCCCCCGCCTTGCCTGGCTCAACAGTCGCTGAGTGCATGGCATGGATGTGTGCTGGAGCCTCGGCAGACCTCTGCGATGCATGCCCGTGCCTGACAGATGCGTGAATTACCTCTAAACATGCACGCAGAAAAGCGTGCTGTTTAGAAAATGGTGCAAACTATACAGTGTGGTGTTTGGAGGGGCTGGCCACCAACCTGGACGCAACAGGCGGCCTCAAATATGGCAAGCAGCTGTTTTTGCAAGGTGAGTCTGACAAACACGATCAGCATGGTACCGCACATCAACTATGCCTGATCATCCAAGCAGAGACGAGAAGTCCGTTACGGTACTGCATGAATTTGGAGGGGCCGCCGTCACTACGACCAAGGATCGCACTCGCCCCGTGCTAACTGGCATTGACCCGACACTTGTGTTAGTGCGGCGCTAGTGCGAGGTTAGCGCCGAGCCACGCGCTAGTGCACACTTAGCGCCTGCCCAGGATCCCACTTAGTGTCTGGCCACGCACCAAGAGCCCACTTAGCGTCATGCAACAGGGTAGGGTCAGCCTGTTACAGGAGGCAGTACAGCCAGGGTTCTCAGTCATTACCATGAGCAGCAAGCAGCAGGCCGTGCTGGTGTGGGGCGGATGGCACGCGGCTGGTGGTGCGCGCGCCTGGCGGCAATCAATAACATCCCAGACGCACGCAATACAGAGAGTGAGTGTGGCAAGCAGCAGTGTATGCAAGGACTGGATTGTCCACACACACAAACAAGCCGCATGATGACCCACTTGAACCTGCACTTTCAAAGGAGAGAGATGCTTCAGCTGGGACCCCAGCACTAGGTCTCGGCTGCCAGGCAGGGGCGGTGCAAGGGAGTTCCTGGCCTTGCAGAGATGCTCATCGTACTCCGCGATGCAACTCGCCACAGGGCTGCGGAACTCAGCCATTGTTTATAGCAACATTGCAAACCCCCTGCATCGGTCGACGCGTTGTTTGCTTCATCACCTGGGTGACACGCGGGCCGCGGGAGCCGTTGATGGGTGAGCTTCCATCGCTTTTCGCCGTCGTAGCATGCCTGCTAACAGGGAAATCTTTGTGAACTTTGCCCCGTCATATCCCAGAAATCCGATCGCTGCCTGATCCGTAATAGTTCGCTGGCTGAGCAGTGTCGGCCACCTTCATTATGAATCGCGCCGTGCTGATCCTGCTGACTCTTATGGCCCTGATCGCGGGCCCTGCTGCGGGCCAGGCGCCGTCGCCCGCGCCTGCACCGTCGCCCTCGCCAGCCCCGGGCCTGTTCGGCACGCTCTTGGGCGGCATTACAGACCTAGCCAAGACGGCAGCGATCGGCTTGCTGAATGACACGGCAAGCAACACCAGCTCGACGCGCGGCATGGTCGCCGGCATGCTTGGTGGCCTGGTCGCGCCCAACGCCACTGGCGCTGCGTGGAGCAAAAAGGGGAGCCCCAGCCCTAGCCCCAGCCCTAGCCCCAGCCCCAGCCCCTCGCCGTCCCCCGTTGCGGCGCCTGCCGCTGCACCCAAGAGCACTGCGGGTGCCGCGACCGTCCAGACCCTGCTCGCAGGGGCGATGGGAGCGGTGGTGCTGCTGGTGCTGTGATCGTCGGATGGTGGCAGTGGGGTCGGCGGCAGAGGCGTGTTCCCGAGCGTTTTCACCGCCGGCTGCATTGATCGGCTGCGTCGGCCGACCGCCCCCACATTGTCGTCACTAAGCATGACGATGTCGCGTTCGCTCCTCAGCCGTGCAGGCGGAGCATGAGCTGATTGGTGACGCTGGTTTGAGGGCTGGCAGGTTGCTGCTGCCGCAAACCATGCGTGCCAGGTGCACGCTGCCCAACAAAAATCACAAAATTGGCAATGACGTCATGATAATCTGATGCATGGAGTCAATATATGGACTGCGCTACTGATCACGCATGGACTTCAAAAATTGCACTGGTGTAAACATGCTTAATTTCACATCCAACAGGCTGCACTTGCGGGTCGCAACGCGGACCAGGGTGTCAGGGATTGAGGCGGGCTGCAGGCTCCACATTTGAGTGCGTGACACCAGGCCACCTGGGTAAAGGTGGCAGCTTTGGGTGCTAAAACAGCACAGCAGTGAGGGCGCCGGGCTGGTCTGCGTGTGGGCGCGCAGATACGGCGCGTATGGCGTGGTCGTGCTTGGGTGCATGCGTGTGCAGGCGTGCGCTACTGTGAGCAGACACCTGCATAAAGTTGCCATGAGGGGGGGGGGCACAAGAATTCGAGGGGGCGTGAGGTGAGCCCGCAAAGCTGTTGGATGCTGGGGAGCAGCGCTGACCAGTCCTTCGTCATGGCTGCTTGCAACACACCGCATTCAAAGAGCAGGAAGAAGCTCACCGCACCTCAGCTTACTCTGTACAACTTCTGCTTACACCCATCACCAGTTGCTGTCCCTGTATGTGGCGCTGAGACCCTGCAAGCCCCATCCACGTGGCATCATCAGGTGCATCTGCTGCTCAACAGAATGCGTTGCCAGGTGACAGGCTGGGCTTGGATGTGCAATTGTTGTGTTATTGGGTGAGGGAATGATTAGGTGGCAACAAATGGGGTACAAGACGCGGGACGTGGACCACCGCAACTCATCTCAAATCATGATCATTACGGGGAGTCTCTGGGCGAGAAGATTGCGATGCAACACAGCCCCCTGCCCAGCACTGATGAGCGACACACAGATTGTGACGGGTGGCGTTGGGTTGGCCCCTCATGATACCGTATGCATGATTCGTCCGGTGGGACTTTCATGCGTCCAAGACAGCATGCGGGGGTTTGTTTAGGGTTGAGATGTCGCCTGGCTAAGAGGTGCATAAATGCAATGATGAGCATGTTCGGGGAGGGGAGGGGGTTGACGTCATCAAACCGCTGTGCGTGCGGCAGGTGTGCACAGCCAGCGGTTGGGAGCATTGTCGTCAGGGCGCTGGAAATCCTGAAAGGGGGCTGTACGCAATCTAGACGAGATAAACCACCGCAACTGGCAGTGATGTGTTTCTCGTGAGGCTGGCGCAGCGCGGGGGACAGGCGTTGGGTGGGCGGGCAAGGCGCTCGCCCGCGGGGCGTTTCAGTTGGTCGGCAGGTGGTGGGTGGGCCACGCCTTGGCTACCTTGCGGCAATGAGGGTGGGCCGCCCACTTTGAGAATAGGCGATACCTTCCCCTAACCTCTCTGGTCGTCCACCGATGTGCGCTGTTGGCCATCGCCCGGCAACAGAAAGCCGCACCGCAACCTTTGCCTGGTGACGGGTGACACACGCCGCCACGCCCCTGGAGTTGACGCATAACATTTCATTCAACCCCATGCATCGTAACACTTTGCGCCTGACTTCGCGGTGGTCGCGAGCGGCCCAGCAGAGATAGGACGCTGCTGCAGCATCATCCTTGCCGTCTCCTGAGGATCGACGCAGATTAGCTGTGAACAGGGTTACTGTTGCTTGGCGTCTTCGACTCGACTTCACACCAAGGACAAAGGGGCTGCAGCAAAACGAGCGCGGCAAGGACCGGACGAGGCTAGTCGTTGCGTGCTTTGGTGAGCTTCTGAAGCACATCACAGCAAGCTGAGATGCTTGCATAGTCGTCACGGTGGTGGCCTGGCCAGGCAGTTTCATTGACGTTCGGCAGAGCGTTGACGGCCCGGGCGCGAGAGGGCTGCCGCAGCGTTCACTGGGATCGACGAAGGAGGTACTTACATGACTATTGAGATTGGGCTGGGCAAGTTCGGCCCACTGACGCGCGCCCCTGCGCCACTAACTACTGCAGCACCCTACGCGCTCCCGCTGCAGCCGCGCCCACGCTTGCCTGTGCTTCGCCACAGCTTGGTCAGCCTGTGCATGGGCTGTGTTTGATAATGCATGGGCATGGGCTGGTGCTGCACGCATACATGGCCAGGCATGGCCCGCGGCCGTGTCGCCGAACTGCAGGTGTGCCGCCAGTTGCCAGAGCGACCGCTCAGCATGCCTCACCGCCTCCACCCCCTTGCGGCCCCCTCACAAATCCCAGCAGGCTGTAAGATTCAAGCACGCGCTGCAAGCGCCCCACCCCGCGCGCCGGCGCATCAGCGGGCAGCGACCGCGCGCGGCGAGGCGCGGCGAGGTGGCGGCTGGCGGCGGAGCGGCGGCCATCAGCGCCCAGGCCCGGGGGTGGCGGGCGACGCCGCGCGTGCGCGGCGGCTAGGAACCGGCGGCGGCGGACGCAGCAGCAGTCATGTGGTGGTATATTGCGTTTGGGATTGTATTTAGCATATATGCAGTAGACCTGCTGTTCCTATTCATCGCCTCCCTCTTTGCGGCGGTGGTCGAGCACTTTGTGCCCCCCATCAGCAC